TAATTTTTATCTTTGTTGGACCTGCGTCCTGAGTTTTAACTGTTTAAAACTCTTGTTGTTGTTTCGGACCGCTGCGTCCTATATGTGTTTAGCGTAACAGCGTTATAACCGGGTATTACTCTTCTGATCAGAAAGGCCAGTGTAAGCCGTATTAACCTGAATTCGGCTATTGGTTTGTTTCTGTTAATGAAGGGAATTACTCCGAGTTGTGGCGCGGGAGTCGGACTGTGATCCGGCCTCGTCAGGCACGCATTTCTCTTTTATTCGCTTTTATTTCCCCTTCTACGCACACACATATTCCTGTGTAAACGTACATCTGGAGACCAACTCCACCACCGCGCCATTACGCACAGAGATCTATACACTCGCGGCTATCCAGACGCCTCAGAGACACAGATTGTGTAGGGCCGAACTCAGTCTCTTTTAGACCTTAAGGCCACATCTAGGCCTTTGTTAGGTGTGTGCCATCGGAAGGGCGACCACGTGGGACGAAGTAATCTTCCCCCCCCTTCTCTCTCCCTTTCATCCACACGTGCACACACCCAGGTCTTTGTTAGGTTTGCGCCATCGTGAACGACCACGAGGGTACGAAGCCACCCCCCCCTTTCTTCTTCCCTCTCTCTCTCTCTCTCTCTCTCTCTCTCTCTCACACACACACACACACACCTACATTCACACCCCTTCCACAAGCCTTTGCTTGATAATGTTTGTTGCTTAGATTAGTTTATAATAGTTGTAATAATTTACTTTGTTTAATTAAGTTCATTGATTTTGGATTGATGTTGCTTTGTTTAAATAAATTCTGTTATAATTTAAGAGAGCAGTTGTTTGTGGTTACTGGTGTATTTACATTGTGATATAAGCTGGGTGCGAAGGCTTTGTGTACGGATTTCACGCCTTCAATTTATTAAATATAGTTATTCATTATTAATAATATTAGTAATTAAATAACTAATTTGAGACTGATTTGAGTGATATTTTGGTTATATTTACCTGATTACAGGTTGGTGCCCCAAAACGAGATTAAACATAGTTTAATGATATTTTATTTATATTATTAATAATTAAGTATAATTATTAAAGAATATAACCAAAGTTGACTTGATACAACCCCAACACTCACGATGTCAAACAAAGTTATGATCATGAAAACACTGATCGACAAAAACAAAAGATAGCTCTCATATTCTCCTGAACACTGAAGGACCGAACATTACCCGATCTCCGCTGAGACTCGTGTACCTGAGAAGTGCAGACTTTGTTGAAGGAGACAAAGATGGCGGTGTGCAGGAAGCAGCAGAAGGACAGGTCGGAGTGAAAGGCCCACGATGCAACCAACAGCAGGATGAGCTGAGGAAGAAACGCTGCCAGGCCGAGTAAAGGACTCCAACTGCTGTCTGCAAAATGAAAACAAAAGACAGAAGAGGTCAAGCAAGTTTAGAAACTGCACTCACTTACTCTCTTTTAATACACAACAAGCATGCTTTTAACTTTATTACAGATTTAATAGAGAAGCATTTTATCACTCGTCCTCGTTCATTTGTCCGCACGGAGGAGAATACCTGCAGTGAGGTAGAGCATGTAGAAATATGGAGAGAAGTTGTGTCTGATGTCTCTCCGGGTCAGATGGTACAGGTACGTCTCATAAAGGAACTCCCAACCATACCTGACGAGACAGGAGAGGAGTCACATTTCATCCACAGTTATTTAAAGTGTTTTCCTTCAGAGATAACGAAGAGAGGCTCATATAACTCTGATCCTGTATTTGATCATGTCTATAAACCCCTCTATTTCAGCCCTGCTCAGAAAAGGCTGTTTCTGTGTCTGTACCTTTAAATATGTAAATGAGCTGTGTCTGACCACGCCCCCTCTCTGGAAGGACTTGGGTGTACTCTGTCTTTCTCTCTCCATGTCCTATTGTTTACAGTGAGAAGGCAGACTCAGAGGGCAGAACAAACACCTAGCTGTGGGAGTGTCACCCACCTGGGGGAGGGGCTACTGCCCTTTGTGATGTCATGAAGGGAAAATCATGACATGTCTGTTGTTTAGGGTATCAAACTACAGGCATAAAACTAGCTGGGGATCTGCAATAGGTCACATGCTGCAGAGAATAGATCAGCGTTTCACCTCACATGTAAAAGAAGAGTCCCGTCAGCAAACAGAACACTCCTCCAGAAACACTCGCAAAGAAGAACAGCTCTCTGTTCAGGAAGCTTCCTATAAACTTGACGAGCCTCCTCAGCTTCCACGTGAACCCCTTTGCATGCTCCTCTGACGTGTCTGTTGGTTTGCGGAGCGTCAGAACAATAGGCAGAGCGTATGTGATGGGGTAGATCTTCATATGGACGGACAGACCATAAAGTACAGCTCCCCATGTCAGATGCCGGGCTAGAAGAAAAAGGATCAACCTGTGAGCAGAGCAGCCGAGTATGTACATGACATTAAAAGTAACTTAACAGAGAATGAAAACATACCTTCCATGCAGAGTAAAGTCCCCAGCACCAGAGCAGCCAGGATGGACTCTGCGTTTCCTCGGCTCGACACTCCCATCGGCAGAGGGTTGAGGAGCCAGAGAGCACAAACACGACACGCTGTCTGAACATAAATACATCAAAAACATAACTTAACCTGCTCTGAGCATTTCCAAGAAGACTCAAAAACTCTATACCTTTACCCTGGACGTGTAGTAAGGTTTCACTATAGTCCGCGATCACTTATAAACAAGGATTTCATTCAACACACAGATTAAATGTGTGAGGAAACAAACCTCGGAGCTCAGAGCTGTCAGACGGAGGATTGTGTAGATGAGCACACCGGACAGCACGTCACACACGATGAAGAGGAGCTTTCCAAACACCTCGCTCACATAGATGTTAGGAGTGAGCAGCCAGGCGAGGAGAGGAGTGTATCTGTAAGTCGATCTGTTGTACGGAGACTCACCCTGAGGGAAAATGTCCGACATTGACTTTAGATAGATAGATACATAGATAGATAGATAGATACATAGATAGATAGATACTTTATTGATCCTGAGGGAAATTCAAAGCATCCATTAGCCCTCCGTCCCCTACATATATATTAACCTGAAAAAAGATTTAAAGAATACGTCTAGATGAATCAAACTTAAACTGTGCAATTAAAAATAGATTTATACATGAAATGTTCATAACCCGTGCAGGGATAAAAATAGATGTGACATTTAAACAAGAACCTTTAAACAGTTGAGGAAAAAATCTGTAATTAGACCTGAATATAAAAAAATAAAATTAAAAAGTGTTGACCTTCTGAAGTTGTGTTGTTTATATATGTACAGCAATGTTTAAAAAGAAGACAGTGCTAAATTATCAAAAAAAAAATTACAAAAAATATTGTATAAAATTGTTTAATTGTATAAAAAATGTATACAGCACAGAAAGGAAGAATAAAAATAAATGTAAAAAAATATGAAATGATATCAACGGTGCAAAAGTTGTGCTTTTCGTATTGTATGATATGAAAAGACATATAACAGCTTTACAAAACCTGTGACAGAATAAATAAACTTGTTGTTGTTGTTGTTGTTGTTGTTGTTGTTGTTTACCTCCGTGATGAATCTCGCAGCACCAGTGAACACGTGGTAATCAACATCAGTGTATTGAACCTCCATGGTCCGGTCCTGGTAGTCTCCATAACAAACCAAAGCCAGTCTGATGGTGAAGGAAGCCGAGAAGAGGACGTGTTTGTCTGTCAGCACAGATATTAACCTCTCCATGTTTCACACCAGACAAGCAGGTACAACCGGAGCTAACTATGCTAACGACTAACTGCTACGACTCTGGGTGACGTCATCCAAACTGTCCGTTTCTCTCTGGTTTCATCGTGAAAACATTTCTGATAATAAACTGTCTAAATCATCTGATATCAAGCTATTTATCTTCCAATAACACTTCAAACATGACAACACGGAAGTAGTCCGGAAGCGTATATTTTTCTTCTTCTTCGTTTTTTCTGGCGTATTGCAATTCCCCATTTAAAGGTGCATACCGCCACCTGCTGTACCGGAGTATTCAGGAGCGATCCAGTTTTACAAGTCTGACCAGATTAATATAAAATAAAGTAATGAAAGAAAAGAGAAGATACATTTAGTAATTGAACCCTTTGTAACTATGCCTTCTGCAAAAGGTTCTGATGTTTATTTGAGACACCTTTAAGTAAATGTTTAATCTCCTTCAACATGTTAATTACATTGGTAGATAGATAGATAGATAGATATATAGATAGATAGATAGATACTTTATTGATCCCAAGGGAAATAAAAAAAAATGTATGGTATGAGACCTTCATAATTTTACTCAGAAACACCTTTTAGGGTTAATTTAAACATCTTTGGGGTGGCAGTGGCTCAGTCCTCATAGAGACTTGGGTTGGGAACCTGAGGGTCGCCAGCTCAAGGCCTGGTGCCGACCAAAGTATCAAAGTTGGTGTGATTTCTGGAGAGGTGCCAGGTCACTTCCAGAGTACTATTGACTCTTTATGCTCCTTATGTAACAGTCCCACAGTTCTCCATGAATGCATGTCCACAGGTTCTGTTTGAGCACGTGTGTATGAGTAGCATTTCTCTCAATAACCCCTCTGGGATTAATAAAGTATAACAAATAATGTACTGTATATCCTAGAAATGATGCACCATCTAAAATAACTAATTAATTCAAAGTATAAAAAAGACAAGACACGTATGGAGTAATGCTTGAAGTATTTAAAGAAAGACTTGTGTGCAGCAGGTGAAGAGCAGCCTGAAATAAGAGGAGGCTTCTTCTCTATAGCATTAAATTGATTAGAGCCTTACAACAGAATGTTCATGTTAAACATTAACAGTTAAGCCATTGATAATGAGGACTTCTCAAAGACAGCCAGTTTAGTATTAACTCTTTATGATTGAATGGTCAAAGTACTCCTGATACCTGATATCACAGGAGACTGAAGCACACCTGAGAACATGGAAAGAATGTAAAGAACCAAACGTTTGCAAAGCACTCTTTTTATTTCACGTGTAATCTCATTACAGACTTCATGCCAGGTTAATAAGTTCTTTATAGCCTTCATTCATCAAATGCATAACGACAATCACTACATGCATCACTTTCTTTGCTTGATTATAACTTTGAAAATGTGATGTCATCACATTATTCTCTTTGGTTGACTTAAAAAAGGAGCTCTGGTGTTGCATGTTATGCAGAAAAGTTTACAATCTTCAAACCTTCATATGGTGTTAAAGTACAGTCGATGTAAAATACTTACTTTACTTCATGGTAGACATTATGATAAAGGCAGATTCTTTAGAAGAGAGTAACGTTTGAGAAAAGTGTTTAATGGTAATAAGACAGGGACTGCAGCAAAAAGGGCCAAACGTGCATTACAGGCATAAAGTCAACCAGATCTTTCAGAGGAGGTAAGGAGCAAAACAGAAACAGTGCAATGGTGTTCAAGAAGGCACAAGTGATGCAGAGCAGTAAAGAAATCCAACACCATAGTTTTAACTTGTGAAAAAAAAGGACGGGAGCTCAGACTGACCATCTGTAAACTCTGGAGAGATTCTCAACATTACTCTTGCAGACGTATTTGTTGAGAAAGAAAAAAGTGCAGCGTTCACTCCGGGGAGCAGTATCTTCCAGCGAAGAGGATGCTCATGGAGGGGTTGTGTCTGATGAAGAAGAGGAAGGGGTGGTCAGCGATGAAGGTTGAAGGACGCATGGCACAGCGCAGCATCAAGATGGCAGCGGTGGCTGCAGCCGCCTCCGTCCCCTCCTCATTCACCTCCACAAACGCCTTGTGCACGACCTTGGAAATGGCCAGGTCGTTTGCAGGAGACATGCCTGTCACAGGGGAGAGGGAGCATGTTGATTTTTCAAGCACATTGAATCTGATAATCTTCTTTGTTTAAAAATGTATTCTGTACCTGAGAAGTCACTCATGCCCATGTCAAAGGCGTCCACCATCCCCATGCTCATCAGGACGTTCTTCAGGTCATAACTCTCCTCCATCTTGAACCGAGGCAGCCCCACCATCACCTCCTGCACGTCCATCATGTCCGGACGAGTCCAGTCAACAAAGTTCTCGTACGTCAGCTCCTTCTCCAGCTGGACGTGGGAACAAAATCAAATGATCAGTTTGTGTTCGCTCTCGTGGGTTTCTTAATGTGCTCAGCTGTGCTTGGGTCCTACCTTCCCCAGGCCTGTTGTACCATTCTCCATATCATTGGGCAGGAAGAGGAGCATGCTGAGCTCCTTTCCTTTATAAGGCATCTCCAGGATCTGTTGGATAGAGGGTTTCAGACATCAATGCATCCATCAATCAATTATCTATAACACTTCCCATTCAGGGTCACGGAGGGGCTGGAGCTGATCCCAGCTGTCACATTCACATCTACGGGTAACTTAGAGTCACCAGTAAACCTAGCGAGCATGTCCTGTGGGTGGAAGCTGTAACAATTTACCTGACAGTTGCCTTCAGGGATGAAGGTCAAAGGAAACTTTGCTTTCTGGTGCATCATCTTCACTGTCTTGGTTTCATTCTGAAATCAACAAAAAACAAAAAATGATAAGAGGCGCTTTTTCTTGTTGCAGTGTCATCTAATAGTCAATGTATTTTTCTGACTTTAGTTTTGGACCATGTGATTGGCGTTACCTTGTTGAGTCTGAACTGAGCGTCCCGCGTGGAGCTCTCCTGAAACTTTTTGTCCCAGTTTCCCTTGAAGTAGATGGCGTTGACGAGAACCAGCCGGGTCATGGTGTCGACCACACCTTGAGCCAGCAAGTCCTTAATTTTACCTGAGAAGTAGACAGAGCTGTGAAGCTTTGTCACACAATAGAACGCACGTCTGAACAGGCAGGCTGTAACCTCATGGGTAAAGAGCGTTTCGATTAGCTTTGGGATAAAGATAGATCTCGAGTAAAAGAAAATACAGAAAGACTGACAGAGTCTTGCAGAATGTGGAGGAAATGTGGAGATTAGAAGGGTTAAAGGCCCCGTAAAATATAAAGTGTCAAGGCGTCACCAACGATAGCGCTCAATGTACACAGGCTTAAGTCCTCTAGTGCGGGTGGCCCGGGTTCGAATCCGACCAGTCTACCCCTCCCTGAGTTCTGACTCTCACTGTCCTATCTCTAAAATAAGGGCATAAAAAGCCCAAAGTAGTGTCAGTAAGCATCCTCAGGAGAAGACGGAGGCCTAAGCAGAAGCTTTGTTTGCATAGATCAATTTAAAGGAGGATAAACCTTTTCCTGTTGGGCTCATATTTTTATATATTTTGTATTTTAATGTCTGTTTTTTGCTTAATGATGTTTTTAACTCTGTGTTTTTAAAGCACTGTGAGTTGCTCTATGAGTAAACGTGCCCTGCCTCATTTGAAGCTTTTCGGGCTCTTTATTTTGATTGCATTTGATAAAAGACTAATCTGGTCTACAAACTAACTCATCAGTGTGTATTCATGTGTAGGATCTACCTTGTGTCTTGCTCTCCACCCAGCTGTTGATGTTGACTCTTGCAGCTTCAAAACCTCTGATGAAGTCCACAGGCTCCAGCTCTGCCTCGTAGTGCTTCTTTGTGCTGTTTAAGAAGTCCTGTTAGCACAAACAACCTGACACATTACTCACTCTTATTCACACACAATCATTTCTTTGACTTCAGTCACTGAAATCCATGGCTGAAACATATCTCCACAGTCTGTCCACCCGTCATCCATCACTCCTGAGCCCTGCTTCACTCCAGATTACTGGTATGTAAACGAACCACGCCTGCTCTACTTATTCACACACTGATACACACACACACACCTCAACAAACTGGTAGGACTGCTCCCCGTACAGCCTGTTGGCCACACTGAGGGCATACGGAGCGTCCGCCTTGTTGAGCTCGCTGAGCAGCAGGGCGAAGCTGGCGTGGACTTCATCCTGACACTCCTGAATTTTCAGACACTGCAGAGAAAGAAGAGAGCTGTTACATAACTACAAAGAGTAAAGAACCAGTGTTTAATAAACACTTTACTGGATTAGGCTGGTGGAAATCTGGGATGGGTATTTCAGTGTTTTTAAAGTTGGGCACAATTATTTTGCTCTTGTAGATTTCTTTTTAAATGCTTACAAAACTCTGAGATACATCCCTCCACCAATCATCCCTCCTACAGTCATCCTTCCACCAGTCATCCCTTCAGCAGTCATCCGTCCACCAATCGTCCCTCCAACAATCGTCCCTCCACCAGTCATCCCTCCACCAATCATCCCTTCACCATTGTTAGTTTCATGGTTTGGCGTAAAGGCCTCTCTCTCAGTAAGAACTCAAGACTTTCAGCTGGTGTGAATCCAAATCAGCAAGATGTTACCCATCAGTCACAAGGACGTCTGCTAAATGTGGTTATGTTTTATCAAAGAAAATAGGAAACAGAGGAATGTGTGTTTTTCTTGATATGTTGTGATATCAGAATATGAAACTTTCCACAGTTCGGTTTCACCACATTGTCGATTCCAGCTTCTGCTTTGAAGAGATAAAACAGGAAGAGGCCGCAAAGAGGAAAGCCAGAACTCTGTCCCTTCATAATATGTAATAACACAGATGTTTGAGCTGCTGGATTCACACTTAAAAAACCATGTCTGCATCTGTGCATTGATGTTTTCTCCCAAATGCATCTGAACGATCTGAACACAGCTGCGTATGGGAGCGAAGCAGGAAGAAAACAAGCATGAAAACTCTCCACAACCTATTTGATCTTCATCTCTAAGGTTCCCCTCACCAGATGATACCACTCAGGAAGTTAGCAAAACACCTCTCCGTTAGTTTATCTCTCCTGCACTCCACCTTCAGCAGGAACTTTGGCAGAATGGACTGGACCTGCTGCTGCATCTGCATCACCTGCTGCTCTGCTGCAGGCTGAGGCTTCTCTGCCTTGGTGAAGCAGAGGACCTGAGGGTGCAACATTCACCGGTAAGTCAGACTTTGTGCATCTGTTTGAGTTCTGGCGGTTATAAAAATCCTAACAGTGATGCTTAGAGTGTGGTTCCAATTTGTTCCACAAGGATGCGTAACCTCCAAGTGAGATAGCTATGATGTTCATGAGCGCTAGCTTAGCTCATCGCCACATTCATATATGTCTGTCATGGCTTGTCTCTAGCTCCCATGCTCTTTTGCTAGTTTTGTAAAGCTCCTGCATATCTCAAGTAACCGTGAGTTCATGAAGACTGTTCGTTTTCATATTTTGCACTTATATTCATGTAAAAAGTGTAGTGCTAACTCCGCTAGCTTCGCTGTTTCTCTATGGGATTTCCCATGTTATTTGTTAGCATAATGCTAAGCGAGGATTGATCTTTTATTCAGTTAAACTGGAAACCTGTTTGCAACTGTATTGCATTGATAAGAAGCTCTTAAGTAGCAGAACCGTTTTTTTTGTAGTTTTGAGAACTTTTGCATGTAATATAAGAAAGGCATAAGTTTATGTATTTTTCTGTGCATATTGTGTTGAAATATGGATGAAATCTTGTTTTTGAAGAAAGAAAAGAAAATGGAAATACAGTTTAAGTAAAACTGAAATACATAAACATATGTATAAAATTAAAGACTGGCAGAAGCGAAAAATAAAGCTAGTCCGAAAGCGTTCAACCGTTGGATGCTAACTTAGTGTCAGCGTGTTCTAGTGATCAACATATCCTGTTGTGCTCTGCACGTTATTTCGTCAAAGGGCGTGGCTATGGTGTGTATTCAAAGTTTGATGTGCATTTTGGCAACTTGCCAAAAAAGTAAATGCTTATATCTCTGCCATGCAGTGTTCAATCATATTAAAATTTCTCATACATGACACGGGACCCGCCCTGAACACATTCATAATTTACATTTTTTGATTAGTCACAGCGCCACCTGTTGACAACAGGAAGTTACTGCTTCTCAGTTAGCATTAGCCATTGCTACAAGGTAGCTCATTTCCCGCTCAGAATTGGTGGGGACCATTCAAACACCTTGGCCATACAACACTTTCAAGCTCAAACACCTACGTCCAACGCTCTCGCCATACAGATGCATCATTCGCCATCAAACAGGAAGTGGCTGTAACTCTCATATACTTTGTCTGATCTGCCTCAAATTACACAGATATGATCAGGGTTGGCCTCTGAATACACTGACATAACAAAAGTCAACTTTAACCATAGTGCCTCCAACTGCAAGGAATAAGTAAAACTCAATGCTCAATTTGCTCCATATTTCATAGCTATCATGACAGTGCCAGCCTGAACTGCTCTACGTCTGTTGTAATCTCCTCTTGTGAATTATTTACACAACGTCTTCTTATCTCATGCTCATGATGGATAGGCCGGGTCTTTGTAACATAGCAATGAGTAAGGTCTTTTTACCTGCTCTTTTGTAATGTTAAAAGACAATGAGTAAGGTCTTTTTACCTGCTCTTTTGTAATGTTAAAAGACAATGAGTAAGGTCTTTTTACCTGCTCTTTGTAACATAACAATGAGTAAGGTCTTTTACCTGCTCTTTTGTAATGTTAACAGACAAAGAGTAAGGTATTTTACCTGCTTTTTATAAAGTGTCTTGAGATAACACTTGTTATGAGTTGACGCTATACAAATAAAAATTGATTGATTGATTGATTGATTGATTGATTATCTCATGACTGGGATTCTTTCCTCAGAAACACGGTTGGTTGAAGATGAAGCTCTGCCTCGCCCAAACACTCACAGTGGCCTGACTGTACACAGGGTGTGGCTTCTCTTTAGGAATCCTTTAAAAAAGAAAAAATGACACTAAAGTTCTGCTTTTACAACCAGCTTACTTCCACCTACATTCAAACCCCCTCTGCAGAGTGAACAGTCTGCTCTCTAAAAAATGGGGGGAAGGAGGGGGGGGGGTGTCCATAGCAGCAGGCCCTCCCATTTATTAAGTCATTAATTTACCTTTTCTATCTCCACTGATCATATCCACTTTATCTACTAACATGCACGTTTCTGAAAGGTGTTATATTTCTCTGTAGAGTTTGAACATTTTCATGAAGTGTCAGCCGAAGTAAGTCAACCCAGACTTCTCTCTCTCCCCATCACAGTTTCCAGCTCCACCTGGGGGATTGCAAGGCCAGACCCCCGGATCTCCTCCCAGTTGGGGGTGTCCGATAAAAAACCTCCAAAGGGAGGGTGTCCAGATGGATACTAATCAGATGCCCAAACCACCTCAGCTGGCTCCTTTCGATGTGAAGGAGCGGTGGCTCTACTCTCTGACTTCGACCTCTGCTGTGTTTACGTTGCTGCGTAGAAGAAGTTTACACTCTGACTACAAAGTCATTATTGAATAACGTAGCCGAGAGTTGAAGAATATTTAACATGATTGCATGACAGACGGGTGGACACGTCTGCTGCTCCATAATGTGAACTGATGAGGTGTACACATTACCTACTGTACATCTTTATTGCCTTAGCACTTCCATGTTATGTCACGTTGCTATGGAAACACAACACAGAGCGCCCCCCCCCCCCCCCCCCCCGTCAAACGGAGTCAGAGTCTGAACAGATCTTTGTCTTTGTTGCTGACGCTGAGAGGAAAAAGTGGTGATTCATGCAGAGCGAGGCCTCTGCCCTTCCTCGCCCACCGCTCTGATTGTTCACTTTGTCACAGAGACGAGCGGACGGACTCATGACACAAGACATGCTTCACATTCCTGTGAAGTGAGTGGTCTTTGTTATTATTTCTCTTTAACTTCCTCTTCCCTTGGGCACCCATAGTTCACCCCCCCCCCCTTCCTACAGAGACGCACAACAACAACAACAACAACAACAACAACAACAACAACAACAACAACAACAACATGGCTGAAAGCATTAATGAAGAGTTCTTTCTCTTAAAGGCCCGGCCTCGTCAGTCGAACAAACTACAGTCTGTGTGAAGTTTGTTCAAACCAAGAAGCAACCTCCGTTGTTGAAAAATGAAGCTGTGCAAAATCCTGCAGTTCCTCGAGTGTCCACTAGAGGCTGGTTGCAGAAGCACAGGAAGTCACATACACACCCATTCTAAAAAGCCTGTTTTTACAGCAGAGATGTTTACTGTAATGGTATCATGGTGACCAGTCTGCAGAGTAGCTCAAATGACAGACAGACACAGAAGTTTTTGTTGACTCTTCCATTTTGATTTTTTAAAGAATAAGAGTGTGTGTGTGTGTGTGTGTGTGTGTGTGTGTGTGTGTGTGTGTGTGTGTGTGTGTGTGTGTTTACCTCCGACATCTGTGCAGCCGTGTTGGCTCTGGCCCCCAGCATCACCATGGCCAGAGCGGACGAGATGCTGAAAGGAGAGTAGAAGATATTTGCCGTCTTGTCGTTATCGCTCAGCGTCTTGAACAGAGCCAGAGAGAAGCTGGTGTTGGCCTTGGACAGTGGGCTCGGTGATGCCATCGTGTCTGCAAACAAGAGAGGACAGAGCAATAAAATAAAAATGACAAACTTAAAATAAAGCCTCATATCTTCTTCTGACTATTTCCTCCAAGGCCTGATTGTTTTCTCCTCACTCTCCACAGCGGCTCTCTTTCTTTCTGTGTGTCACTTCTGAAATCTATACGGAGTAGTGTTGTCATGATACCAGAATTTCAAACTTGCAGAGGAAACCGTATCGATTCCACGACGATAAAAGTAGAAGTCTTGGCACCAAATATTGGGCAATGTTTCAGAAACTTTGCCAAAGGGTATTTTTTAAAATAATAGATGGAAATCTAATTCTGCCATGCGGAAAAGACGACCCTTACTATACCTGCCACGGCCGACATTCAAGCAGCCAGATTCTAAATGTATTTCCTGTAGTCTGAAGACAAGACCGATCTCGAGAACTCCAACACTACATGAAAATATAAATACATCAACATAAAAGATGATTAAAGGGAAACACTGCTCATAGATTATTATCCCAAAATACTTTTTTCTGCTACATTATTTTTATCTATGTAATATTTCTGTTTAGTACAATTTACAGTTTTATCACAGTCACATTTGTTACACAGATTGCAAACTATATTATTTAATCTAGCCTTGATATCCGATTATTCCTAATTTAAGGAAAACTTTTTAAAAACACAAGATAATTCAGCCACGGTAAAAAAAACATTAACCCTGACAGGTTTTAAATCTATCTGAGGATCCTCGTGCCAATAACCACAAACAAAATATAGTTATTTCACACATAAATTAATTCCTGCTAATAGATTTATTATTTGTAAACAGGTGAGACGTATTACTGTCAGTAATAACTGAGTAATAAAGAGGTTGTTTGGGTGTTAAGATTTCTTTTAAAGCAGCTGCAGGTCTTCTAAGCTAATACAAACATAAATATCAGGACAAGAAATCTAACATAAGAAAGTAAAATACAGCTCATGTATTAACATTTTAAAATGCTTTTGCTGCTGTTATCTATCTGGGCAGTCAGACTTAGTGTTACAGTCATTACCAAAGTTTATTCCCTGAGTATGAAACTTTTCCTGTGCCAAACTCCTCTGAACATTTAGTTCATTTACATTTTAAACGTCTTCCTCACACTAATAAAAACTTCTCGAGCAGGATTAATTGTATTTTTATTTTTAAATCATTTGTTCACATATTCTTATTTTAACTGAGCCTGTCAGTAAAACTGAGAAGTCATGTCAACCTGTTTAAAGGCCGATCACACTGTTCACCTTTAGCACTACACTGTTGAACCTGTCAGGTAAATAAAGGTGTTGTTCAGGTCTACAAACTGAATCATTAAAGATCACTGCGCCGTCACGGAGGGGATCAAACTTACCGTCAGAGAGTTTCTCTTGAGCTGTGAGAGAGTTCAGGATGATTTCCTTCACAGGAAGATTTCTGTGTGAACCATCTGTTTTATAATTTACAAACAGACACACCCTGAAGATCTGTCAGAACCAATCTGTCAGGTCAGAACTACTTCCGCATCCTCATATTTCTTTCTACGGGAGCCGAACGGGGACAATAAGCCTTTACTCGCGGTTTTGTACGAAAAGCGGCTAAAATAATGAACAATTAGCAGATGGACTGTAAATATAAAGATTATACGACATGAATTAGCACTTCTTCTCTTAATTATTAAATATATGTTACTTTATTTAGTTTTTATCATTATGAAATTATTCAGAAATTAATTTCTGACTTTGCATTTCGTGTGATGAACATTAAAATCGTTTGCAAGATGTGTTGATTAAATGTATCGTCCAATGACCTAACAGTTGTGTACTATGATGTACTTTTTTTGTGAGATTTTTTTTTGGGGGGGCTTTTTGTGCCTTAATTTAGAGACAGGACAGTGGATAGAGACAGGGGAAAGAGAGAGAGAGAGAGAGAGAGAGAGGAATTACATGCGGGAAACTCGGTGCTGAATCATTGAGTGCTTTATGGACCATAGTTATTTGATTTTGAAGGTGATTCTGTGTTGGAGTGTTTTGAGGACCGGAGTGATATGATCACATTTTCTTGTTTGGGTCAGGACTCTGGCTGCTGAATTTTGAATAAACTGAAGTCTTCCTACAGATTGTTTGGATAACCCAGCATAAAGAGTGTTACAGTAATCTAAACTGGTTGAGATGAATGCATGGACTCATTTCTCTGTTGGACATATGGATGGCAGAGCTAAGGTCAGAATCCAAAATAATGCCAAGCTTTCTGGCCTGCTCACTGTATGTGTGTAATATGAACAAACTTGAGTCCCCATCTTTGGTGCTGACCCCAGGTAGCCTTTCTATTTGCGCCTCAGCCCCTTTCTGATTATTTAAATTTAAGAAAAACGGCCATTTTGGCTCCGTTTTGAAGCTCCTGTGAAAATGAGAAGCTTTGTAAGCACAGATTTTGTCGTAGCTTTAAGTGACCCAGGAAGACAAATCTCAGGACTTTTTTAGCCTTCAGTTTCAGAAGTTTTGTCTTTATATGAATAAAACAGAAAAGTTGATACCGCTCAGAGTGAATTAAACATGTTTTGATGTTTGACTTTGTACCTAGGCTTGTGAAGTGACTGAGGCTGCTCATGTTCATCTGCTTGACATCACACCTGCTTCCAATTACACCTGATGACTAGCTCTCTTTTGGTTTCAGTTTGGCAACACCAGCAGACCCACATGCTGCTGAAATAACTCCTTTTACAGACAGAACATCCCCGTGGACTCTCTTTCAAAGAGTCAGACGCTGTGACATCTTCATTGGAGCATAAAGTCAATCAGTGCATGGACTAACAAGAACACTTTGGAGCTCAAGATGAGTGAAGTTTTTGATCTGACTCATGAAGAAGGAGACCACATGCAGCCTGTGGACAAGGACCGTGATCATCCTGTCAGCACCTCATCCCAACAGGTTACGTGATTTCATCCAATTATTTTATTTTGTACTTAAACATTTGAGTCAAATAAATCCTGATTGTGAGGAAAGGTCGCTTGTTTAGATGTTTGTGGCCATGCAGTGAACCTTTTGAAAACACACTGAGATGTGAATTTGTGGTCTGATTGTTGTTCTTTTTGTTTGTAGGTTGAAGCTCCAGGTGTTGCAGAGCAGCAGACGATGAGAGTGTACCTCAGAGTCCGGCCTTTCTCCAGAGAGGAGCTCGCTGACAACGAGGATCAGGTACAGAGCTGGATATACATTCAGAGTCCATGCTCACACAGGTCACCATGTGGTGGACACTGAAGCTTCAGTGTTTATCCAGCTCTGCATGGGTCTGTAAACCTTTCTGTGTTCTAACCTCTCTCCATTTTTCAAAAGCATCTCCAATATTGATCCTAGTTTGAGCACGTTTCTGCTCGTGGAGCTTATTAGAAACATGCAGAGGCTTTTTAGGTCGGGTACAATCACTTCTATCTGAACCACTTCTCTTGCCTGCTTCCATCACTGCAACACCTGTTGACCTGATAACTGCTCTCATATCTGACAAACTGAGGGGCGTCCAACACAAAAGTTAGGAGGACATACTGGCTGCTGCATTGTTGTCAGAGAAGCCAGCACTTCAACATAGCATGTTGAAGTGCTGTTGTTGAGCAGAAACACGGTTGGTTGAAGATGAAGCTCTGCCTTGCCCAAACACTCACAGCGGCCTGACTGTACACAGGGTGTGGCTTCTCTTTAGGAATCCTTTAAAAAATAAAAAAAGTCTCTAAAGTTCTGCTTTTACAACCAGCTTACTTCCACCTAAATTCAAACCCCCTCTGCAGAGTGAACAGTCTGCTCTGCTTTCACTAAAGACTCCCTAAATCTAAAGTCTTAAAACTGTCTCCCTTCTCTTGTCCAAACAAATCCAGACCATTCAAGGCCAGAATCTTAGAAGGTTAATGTCTGATCATATAGTAAGCTCACTTTTTCACTTCTTACCCCTGAGCTCCTTAACCCGTAATAAAGATCCATAACCTTTGCTCTCCCAGGGTTGTGTGGCGATTGAAAGCAGCCAGACGGTGACCCTGAATGCACCTAAAGGTTCTGCCACCATGAAGAGCAGTGAGAGAGGCATCGGCATGTCCATCCACAAATTCTCCTTCTCACAGGTGTGTGTCATCTGAAACCACAGCACAGTTCACCTGCAGGAGCACGTTTATCTGTTAACGCTGATGCACCTGTCCTCTCTGACCCAACATCTTTCTGTCTGAGTTCAGATTTTTGGTCCAGAGACGACTCAGTCTGAGCTGTTCGAGGACACGGTCAAAGCTCAAATGTCTGATTTCTTGGACGGGGAGAACGCTCTGATATTCAGCTATGGAGTCACCAATGCTGGGAAGACGTTCACAATCCAAGGTAAAGATGCAAACGACAACAACGATAACAAGTCCTGCACAGTTCTCCTGCAAGTCCTTGTGCTGTTAAATGTTTCAGGAAGACCTAAAGAGCCGGGGATCCTCCCTCGGGTGTTGGATGCCACCTTTCAGCACATCGGAGGCCGTCAGTATGAGGGGATGGACCTGAAACCTTACCTCAGGAACGATGCTCAATACCTGGATCCTGACCAAGTCAAACAGGAGAGATATTCTAAAGCAGCCATTTTTGTTTCACTGAAAGAGGTGAGTTAACTTAATGTCCAATGTTTATTCAGGTTTTGCAAAAAAAAAAACAGAAGAAGCTGGTAACTTAAATGCAACTGAAATGTGATGATGTAACGTGCAGATTTCTTTGCTCCTCCAGGATTGTGATCCTCTCAGAGCCAGCAGTGGATCAGAGTCTTTGTCCTACTCCAGCTCGGCTCTCTCCTCCTCTTTATACTGCGATGAAGCCGGTAGTCCTCATTCAAATCACACACTGCTATGTTATTGTCTTGCATTTTAAAACTGTTTTAAAGTAATTCTGACAGAAAAGTGTTAAAAAGGCGACACTGCATGATATCAGCCGTCTTTGTTTCCCTCTGTCCTCATTTCATTCTGTCTCCTTTTGGTGTCTGTAAATAACTCAACAGAAACAGACAGCAGTCAGTTTGCACTGTGGGTTGCATTCTTTGAGATCTACAACGAGTGTGTGTACGACCTGCTTCAACCTTCACTCTGCTCCAAATCTAAGAAACGAGCTTCTCTGAGAGTGTGTGACGACGGGGCTGGGAATGCTTACGTTAAAGGTGAGAGGGGTTTTTCAGTCGACTGCAACAATCTCTGTGTCGCTAAAGGCTTAAAATTCAGTTTAAAAAACAATGCATGACAGATTCTTAAAAACACTTTCTTCAGATCTAAGGTGGATAAACATCCAGACTCTGGGAGAAGCCAGCAGACTGCTTCAGTTTGGAAACAGGAACAGAAGTGCAGCAGCCACTAAGATGAACCAGTCGTCCAGCAGAAGGCAAACTCTCGCTCCATCACACTTTAACTTTCAATCTTTACATTTGACTGTTTTTAAACTGACACCAGCTTCACTCACAGCCACAGCATATTCACCATGAAGTTACTGAAGATCGATGACTGCAGCACAGTAAGAAGGATCTCAGAGTGAGTTCATGTTGTTTATATTTTACCTGTGTGCAGTTAACGCATAGTAATACAGTGTTCTGCATTTTAGTCATTTGTCTGTTTATTCTTACAAGCTAACAGCATGTCAGTGATGAAGACATGATGGGAGGTGATGTAACGTTGTTGGTACTTGACTGTCCGGTCCAGTATCGGAGCTCTGGTAGATGCAGCGTCATGAGAGGAGCTCCATTACAGAAATGAATCCTTCTAAATCACATTTTGTTTCTTAGGTTTTCTCTGTGTGACCTGGCCGGCTCAGAAAGATGCAACAAAACCAAAACGTTCGGGGAGAGACTGAAGGAGGCGGGAAACATCAACAACTCTCTGCTCATTCTGGGGAAGTGCATCAACGCTCTCCGTAACAACCAGACCGACAGGTAGGCCTACAGGTGGTCAGGTGTTTGTAACCAGCTGCAAATCTTCTTATAACCCTCGTGTTCATCTGTGTTTGTGGTCAGGATGAAGAGCAGCTACATTCCTTTCAGAGAAAGTAAACTCACAAAGCTCTTCCAGGCTGTCTTCTGCGGTAAAGGGCGAGCATCGATGATCGTCAACATTAACCAGTGTGCCTCTACGTACGACGAGACTCTGCATGTGATGAAGTTCTCCGCTGTGGCCAAACGGGTCAGTCAGAGTCGTTGAATAATGTTTGAAAAGAAGCGGCATCACATTCTGATCCCACCTGTGCTGTCTGTAGGTGGTCCAGGTCATTACAGACAAACACCTGGAATCTCTGGCTCCGTGTTTGGTCGGCCGCGATGGGAAACCTCTGGTGAGGAACGGGTCGATTGACAGCCAGGCCCTGGAGAGCTACCTGTCTGAGGATGAGCTGCTGGATGAGGAAGACGAGGCTGACATGTCTCTGCTGCCTCAGCATGTAAAACATTTTACAAAAACAAGTCACACACAAGACATTTCTTACTCATTTTCTCAGTTGTAATATTTTAGATATTCCTAAATGTACCCTTCTGCAGTCCCTGCCCTTTTTCCTCTGTGCTGCCAAGAGCTAAACTAGCTTTAGCCAGTGAGCTAAAAAATAAAATAAGATAACCATGCTAAACACCAGAGGCCGGTTCCACCCACAGGACGTTATGTTCACCTCCCCACTGAAGTGGAGTCAGCTGTGATTATAACTCATTTCCCCCAGACCTCCAGAGAGATGTAACAGCATATCCTAGCAATGCATTCTGATAGGCATCCATAGTAAGCCTGGGAGTAGTTGGTGCAACTGACTTATAATCATTTTTGTGTTTTTCTATGCCTTTTTTTATTTAGACAGTTTATAGATTCAGAAATCAGAGAGAGAGTAGGAGCCACAGGTCGGATTCAAACCCCAGCCATCCGCTTGGAGGACTTCAGCCTCTGTGCATGGGGTGCACACGCTTAACCACTAGGCTACCGCCGCCCCAGAATTCTGAGCGTCTAGCTCAAAGAACTGCTGCGTTCAATTTAGGCTTTCCAGGTTTATTATTTCCATTATCGCTACCACAGCAACAAAAATGAAAGTCCTACAGGCACCACATTTGGGTAATTTCTTGTTTTTAATTAGCAAAACTTGCAGGCAGGGGCGCGCTGGTGGCGCAACGGTTAGGGCGCGCGTCCCATGTATTGAGACTCTCGTCTCGAGCGGTAGGCCCGGGTTCGCTTCCACCCATGGCCCCTTTCCGCATTTCATTCCCCACTCTCTCTCCCTGGTTTCCAACTCTATCCACTGTCCTCTCTCTGCATTAAAGGCACAAAAAGCCCAAAAAATTAATCTTTAAAAAAAAAAACTTGCAGGCAAACTCCTGCACACTGGCTACATTGCACAAATATGTTAGCCATGTTTCTATACTGAAACGTTGGCAACGTATTTGTGCAATTTAGACACTGTCCCCTCTATTTCTCTGGCAGCATCTTTTGGTTAAAGACACAAAATAAATCTTAAATTGCATTTTTTTTAAATGTAACTCCTGTAAATATTTGATTCTCTCCCAGGAGATCGTGAGTATGATTGAGAATCTGCGATCAAAACTGCTGGTAGAGCGAAGGAGAAATCTGGTTCAGGAAATGGAGATCCGTAAAGAAATGGGAGACGCCATGTTGCAGCAGATCATGGAGAGCGAGGAACTCCGCACGTAGGTTAAGTTTCTTTGTGAAAGTTTGATGAGTAATGCAGAACTCTGGAATTCATGCCCACAGCTGCCTCTGTGTTCAATGTTCAGTCGGCAGATAGAGGAGCTGAAGGAGAGCTACCAGGAAAAGCTGGAGAACACGTTTGAGATGTACAAAGATGCAATCAAAGAGCACGCCTACCAGAGCGCCATGAACAACCTGGAAGACGACTACGTGCCGCTCGACGAGTTCGTCGCTGAGCAGGAGAAAGTGGAGGTTTGTCATTTGAACAGTCGTCAGACACTTCAACGGGTGAGAAATATTTGAAGCTAAAGTACAAGACATGTCCAGCAGGGGGCGACTCCACTGGTACTGAAGTCTGATCAAATGTTTCTACTTGTCAGCTGATTTATTCCCTTGGTAAAGATTGTTTTGAATTGTCTTCTTCAACACAGCATGATGTTCATTCAGTAAATGATGCTCCTGTTTAAAGTCAGAGAGCAGAAAGAGGGGGAGGAGTTTCTTATATACAGCCTACTGCAGGGCCTGATCAGCTCTGTCCTGTCCTGAAACTAAAACTTCCATTTGCACGAACTATGCAGGCCCTTAAGCGTAAAGTGTCGGAGCTGGAGAGTTTAACATCCAGCAGCAGAGGAGGAGCATGTTCAGTTCAAACAGCCGACCAGTCGAGCCAAACTCCACCTCAGAAAGCTACGGACTCAGCAGGTCAGCGGGTGTTGTTTTTAGGTAGTTTGAGGTGCATTGTAGTGAGCTCTGTATTTGTTTTCCTATTTATTTTGACATGTTTATGGATGATTGTCTGTCCTTTTTTTCCCCCACAATGATCTCACTAACTGACGGCTTTCATTGTGAACTTTACTCGGCTCACTCCGTCCTGACAGCAGACGATCGATGCAACCGGCTCTACAGAGAGAAATGTGCCATCGAGAGGATGTGCGAGGATAAACAACAGGTAACAAGGACAAATTTAAAATTCAGTATCCAGTCATGGTTGTGTCATCACATTCTGAGTTTTCTCTTTCATGTTTGTTTCAGTTGATCCTGTCCCTGGAGAGACGGCTGATGGAGCTCAGCGACACGCTGCAGAAGGTCAGAGACGGTTTCCTGGAGAAGTCCACTGATCTGGAGGTTCTGCTGAGGAAGGCTGACGATCAGGTGAGGAAGAGATTATCCAGAACTTTCCAATCACAGAATTTTTCACACATGAACATGAAATGTTCAGGGTGAGCCACAAACGGCTGAATGTTTCATTCAGACTTTTTCCTCCTTTTGAATATTTCTGAGAAGTCGTAATGAGCGGATGTTTGAACTGAAGGGGTGCAACAGTTAGTCGATCTCTCGTTGGTTACGTTATCACAGGGTTTTAAGGATCTAAGATGCTGAGGACTGAGCCGCCTCACATCCTGACTATCTCTGCTGAGAGTTGAGTTTGAAGAACAGTGAAAACAAAGTGTAGCATGTTGGCTTCTGAAGTCTGGTAGGATTGCACCCTCAACTTTGAAAAGAAAAGGATCACCTGCTAGATTTGTAAAGCGGGCGTTGCTTGTCATGGGAGCGCATCAGTAATAATGTTGGTAATATAACATGAGCACTTGTAGAGAAAGTATGTTGGACGTCTCTTTTTAAAATCCTCTTTGACGTTCATCTTAACGGTCCAATGTTGCCCCCTGCTGTTTCATCGAGGAAAACCTTTCCATGTGAGAGGCAGCTGGAAGAGCAAAGATTTCAGAGGCAGGCTGTAGAATTGTTCAGGACGAGCTTTAATACTCAGCTGTTTGACGGGATACTGGTCTTTCTTTCCGATTCAGAGCAAATCTTTGGAGGACGTCCTGCGGCAAAACCTTGAGAAGGACAGGGAGATTGTCTCTCTGAAGGCAGACCTCACCAAGCTCTCCCAGACGTCTCCTGTGCAGCCAAAAACCAAACGTGGCCTGCTCGCCAACATCCGGGAGGCGGTGACTTCTCCGCGGAGGACGACCTCCGGCCGAACGCTCAGGAAGACGGCCAGGACTCCACATGTGTGAAAACACGACTCGCAGTCGATTTCAGGCACCGTGAAATGAGAGAGGCATGCGTGACTCTTAATTAATTTTATTCAGAGTTTTTAAATGTTTTGTGTTTTCTTTTAATAAAATTAGAATCTTTGAAACTTTTGTCCACCGCTTTGAGATCATTTCTTGGCGACCACATGTGATGTGATACCGATATATCGGGCAATATCTTTTAGATCTGTAGAGAGAGAGAGAGAGATATAAATATTTATTGAGTTGATCCCTCAGTTATCAAACACTTGTGGAAAAGATATATTATGAAGACAAGATGGTCACTCAGCTGGCAAGTAACTGCGCATGTAAGTGCCTCACCGCTCCACACTCTGGAGAGTGATGACTGTTGTAATCCATACAGCGCCCTCTGCTGGTGAAAGAGAACTACCAGTGTCATACAATGAAACTCAAATTAAATGCTATGTCACTGGTGAATAAATCAAGTAATATCAGTGCATATCTGAGATAAAATTAGCTGATAGCCACAGTCACTTGAAATGCTAATATCGGTTGGCAGATTAATCGGTCGGGTTGGAAAAAAGATAACTAAATGAAAAACCTCATCTTCAGAGCAGTAACTCTGCTGCCAAGTGTGTCCTGTTTTTATCACTGGAGATGAGCAGCTGTTTCTGGTATCAGAATATACATCTTCCTCTGTAAAGGGTTATCTCTCAAGGATTGTCTCTGTAAATGTGTCACACTCAACCTTCTAGGAACAAAAACAAGAATTGCTGTCCACCGCTTTGGGGTCATTTATTGGCCACCACACGCTCTGATATTGTTCCTTTTCTCGTGCGGTGATTTTTCCACATATAGAAGCCCTGTTGTTCACCGCTATAGAAATGTCACGCCAGGGAATTCATGCTGGAAACTCACTGAACCTCATATCATATCTGGTCAAATGAGGCCGTCCATTACCCAGAGCCTGAGGGGAAGACGCACAAAAGATCTTGGCGGTGCAAAGAAAGCATGTGCCACTTCCCCTCTCTTAAGTGCATCACTATTTAATTATTAGTCTGTAACCAGTACGAGTAATTTATTCTTTCTTTCTTTCGCAGCAGCCTCCTCTCAGTTAAGGGTCATTGTAGCATAGACGGCCAGCTGCTCATCCATCTCTCTGGTGATACTTAATGAGATTAGCTGTTGGTGTAAGCCTGCGTCAGTCCAAAGGGGTCAATCACAGGATTAGCACCTTGCTTAGACTGCTACACTTTCTCCTCTTCACTTTTTTAGACTCTTTCTCTTGTGTTTTATTTTTGAACCCTTAGGAGCATGTTCACCTTTAACTCTACTTTAGTGGCTGGAGTGGGATACGGGGATGCATCATGCTGCTGTGGAGCTGAGTCTATCTCGACCCTGAGCCGGTGAATGAAGCATCTTCCAGGAGGAGGAGAAGAGGAGCAGGGGCAGCCGGGGGAAGTGAAGGGGGCCGGCGGGCCAGAATCTGGTCTGTTGTGTGTCTGAAGACTGTGGACCGGTCCTCCTCATGCCGCTCATAAACAACAAAGTGAGCGATGGATGCACGGTGGGCACGGAGAAGGCTTTGGCTGATGGGAAGGCTCTGGTGGATTCTTTGGTGAAGGTCAGCTGCTCTTTTTATTTGTGCAAAGTCTTTTTAATGCCGATGTAAAACGTTAAAGAAGTTAAAGTCTGTGCTTGGAGACTTTCCTGAAAATCCTTTTCATACTCAAACATTACAGAATTGTCTTTAAACTGGCAGATGCAGAAGGCTGGAAAGATCTCCAATAAAAAAAAAAACATAAGTATATTGCATTAGCAGATATGATAGCTTACATTTTTTAATCTTGTGTTAATATTTATCAGTCAAAACGAACCTAAGACATCACAACATGTTTCCCCCTGCAGCTAAAAGAGCACTCAGTGAAATAACCTTCTTGGTCCGCTGCATCTTTATAACGGCTCCATCACTGAGATAAAGGCACACACTGTTGTTTTGTTTTACTGTAGTTTGACCCATAATCCACTGCAGTATTCGTGCTGTAAATGTTACAAAATGTGATTTAAGATTTATTCTGCAGTGGTTAGTGCCCGCCCCCCATGTATGGAGGCTATAGTCCTCCAAACGGGCGGCCCAGGTTCAACTCCCACCTGTGGCTCCTTTCCTGCATGTCATTCCCCATTCTCTCTCTCCCTGATTTCAGACTCTATCCACTGTCCTATCTCTCCATTAAAGGCACAAAAAAAAGCCAAAAAATACATTTTTAAAGATTTAATCTGAGTGATAAAGTCAAAGTCAAATCATGCACAGGAGAATATAAACTCCATATAAGATGAGCGGCCACAAAAAAAGTAAACTCCTAGTTATTGTCCCGTTTGCTCCTTTAATGTCTGAAATCTGAGTGCACAAGATTATGTTGGTTTATACATAAATAGATCAACGATAATGAGATTATTTAAAGTATTTTTTAAATAAAATAAAGTCTGCAGATCCTCTCATTTTAAGTTTTTCTAACTCTAATATGTGTCTCTAGTCTGTCTACAAACCCCTCAATGATGAGAAAAGTCCATCCTCTCCGTCTTTTACCTGCTCCACTTTTCAGAAAATGTGTGCTCAAACAGGCCGTTTGGAGATTTTCCCTTCATGACATCACAAAGGGCAGTAGCCCCTCCCCCAGGTGGGTGACACTCCCACAGTTAGGTGTTTGTTCTGCCCTCTAAGTCTGCCTTCTTACCGTAAACAATAGGACATGGAGAGAGAAAGACCGAGACAACCAAGCCCTTCCAGAGAGGGGGCGTGGTCAGACACAGCTCATTTACATATTTAAAGGTACAGACACAGAAACAGCCTGTTCTGAGCAGGGCTGAAATAGAGGGGTTTATAGACATGATCAAATACAGGATCAGAGTGGATTTAGAACTAGAAACTTCACACACATGTTTTGAGGAGCTCTGAGACTTACACTGAAGAAGATGAGGAGGACATGTCACCTTTAAGTTGCAGCAATAACTGCTCCCCGCTAAGTCGATCTATCTAAACCCCCAAATATCTAAAAAAAAAGGCCAAACTTTAAGATCCCATAATTATCTTTCAAACTGTAATTCGTGGTAAACTGCAAACTAGATCAGGGACATGTTCACTGACACAACAATGCAAACTTGGAAACTGTCATCACATCTTAAAAAAAGGTGTGGGTTCTGCATCTACATCCTGTTTGTAAAATAATAGTCAGGAGCAAGATGTGTTTGTAAAGCGTCCCTGAGTAAGCAGGAGTGTTCTGCTCCTCCAAGTAATCTCTTCACTCAGATATATATGTCAAGGACACAAGAACACACAATGGCCATATTAACTCCAAGCAGCTCACCATGTGTCTTAGCAGCAACACAGCTTCTCTTGATGAACAGATTTAACTCTTCCCTTTCCTTGCTCAGGTGGTGGCGTGTTACAGACACCTGGCCTCGTGTGTTGGTAGCTGCACGGACAGCTTGCAGCTTCGAGATGAGCTTCGGCAAACGCGAGAAAAGGCTCAGAAGTTAGCCGTGGACATCTGTAGTCACCTGACCTCACACCTCAGAAACAAGAGCCTCCCCGAGGAGCAGCGTAAGGAGATGGAGCTCCTCTGGGTGGCCTTCTCCTCCAGCCTGGAGCTCCTCCACCTCGACATGTGCAAAGTGCTCAACATGGGGGACACCTTCTGTCTGGCTGATGCAAAAACCCTGGTGAAGACCGGCCTCCAAGGTAAGTGTGCAGGAGTTGGCCTGCAATTTTTGCTGGATTCATTCCTACACTTTTGACCATTAGAACAACGGAGATTGTATTGTTGTAAAACAGGGTATGGAAAAGTGTTTCACAATCTTAAAATCTGTTGTGAATCTTTGGAGGTAATATCATAAATATTTAAAGGACCAGTCAGTAAGATGTGTAGAGAGTGAAGAAAGTGACCTGATCTGATCAGACATTAAGGAAACATGCTATGTTGAAGTGCTGGCTTCTCTGACAACAATGCAGCAGCCAGTATGTCCTTCTTCTAACTTTAGATTTTGCTCCTGAATGCTCTGGATTTGTTTGGACCAGAGAAGGTAGGCGTTTTTTTGGGGAGACAGCTCTCTACAATGTTTAGAATTTGGACTGCAGTACCCATTTTAAACACTAGGGCTCAGAGTTACATACTGCTTCTTTAACCCCTGGATGGCTCATTCCACCCACTGACTCAAGCCACTGGAACACTTTTTTTTCAGGAGGTATATTTTCAAGGCACTTTGTCACATATTCATCGTTGTATTTTCAGTTGATAAGGGACATCCCACATGAAGAGTAGACGTTTTCATTGTACCTCTGTCCCATCTTTCTTGCCTGGAAAACAACATAACAGTCTCATCGTATCCCCCTCTCCCCTACCAGATAGACCTTTTTTAAATCCTCTCTCCATCAGGGGATAAAATTGAATGTTTGTTGTTGAAGAGAAGTACTGGTTCTGTTATTTCCCTGCCTTCACTGAACCAAATGTTGATTCTTTTTTTGCAGGAGGAGGCAGCGAGGTGTGCGCTCGGGCTCTCAGCCTGCCGGACCTGAACCAGGCTCAGACCTCCAGCCTCCCTACAGGTCTGGAGGTCCAGGAGCGCGGCAGCATGGAGAAGGAGATCAGCCAGATCGACAACATGATCGAGGACATGGAGATGAAGGTGAACGTGCTGCGCTGGATGGTGGAGCCTCGGGGGCCGAAGCATGTGGAGCAGCTGAGCGGCTCAGACAGCACCTCTCTGGCTCTGACGTCCATCGACGAGGAGCAGCAGGAGGAGCGAAGGCCTCTGTGTCAGCGCAGCCCCGTCTTTGTGGTCTTACTGCTACTGCTGGTTGTTTTAGTGGCAGCGAGTTTATCTGTCAGTATTGTCTTCTTCTCCTGAGCGAAAACTTAACACACACTCTCTATAAACTCAACAGGAACAGGAACTGCCAACAACCCTGTTCTCTGTTAACTCAATAAAAAAAAGGTTTCAGTTTGATAAAGCAGCTACATGATGATTAGAGCATACAAGAATTTGTCTTATTATAATAGAGTGAAACAATGTTTGATTGAAAATAATCCAAACATGCCATGAACTTCAAACTATCTCTGTTGAACATTAAACTCCATGTGGTCAGTAAATCAACTTTAAGAGATTCTCGGAGAGGTAGATTTTCTGTAAGAAGTTCGACCCTTTATGCTCCTTTTGTTCTGGCCTAAGTTCTCCTAAGCAAAGACTCCTTACATTCCTTGAAGCCACTGAGAAGTTTAGGTGTTGCAGCTTTATAGTTTATTTACTGTAATAAGCAGAATATTCATATCCAATGGCTGTAGCTTTCTTTGAGCCATCTCTGTACATATTGTCTGTGATAGGAAGCTGACTGTGTATAAACCAATGAACCTTGATATGACAACGATCTGTCGTCCAATCGTTTTTATTATGAAGCAACAGAAAGAGTACAAAACTCAAACATTTTTACCCTTTTTATTATTTGAATCAAGACATTACAAAAATAATGTTTGAAAGAATTTATTTAGCTTTAAAGATTCTCTGTTTCAGGGTGCTGGTAGCCTAGGGGTTAGTGCGCGCTACGGTTGTAGTCAAGACCTCACTAACCAAGACCAAGAAATAACTAAGACTAGAGTGCTCCGAGACCAAGACAAGACCAAAACATGAAGGGATCGAGACCAAGTCAAGACCAAGACTAAGGCAGGGCGAGACCAAGTCAAGACCAAAGCTGAAAAATCATCATTTACCAGAATCCCACTAATTAACCATTAGCTAATAGTTATTTACTGTTAACAAACAATTAAATTATAGTTAATAATGTTTGATAATGATTTGTAATGCTATAATTTATGTTATGTTAACAGTTTATTGATACACACTGTAGCAGGTTTGACAAGGTTTTAATTTTTGGGGTGCCAGTCAGAGTCAAGTCTGACAAATAATATTTAAATGCAAACAAAAAATAGCCAACCTGCACAAAATAGGACATAAGCAAGAGCCACAAAACAATCAAACAAAACAACAATGCGATTTCAATAATATATATTTTCACAGGTATCAACCACACTGCAAACAAAATGAATGTGCGCACTGTGTGTGCGTGTTTCACAGTCTCTGTTTCTAAATCAAAGTTCACTCCCGTTCCGAAAAAAAATCTGCTCCGGTGTACCCACAACCCACAGTTCAGTCCATTTCAGTTCAATGTTCAAATACAAAACAAAAACTCCGCTCTGGGTTTTACCACGGGCCTCGAAAACAAATAAGGAAACAAACTCCAAAGAAAACCAACGTCTCTCTTCACGGTGCGACAATCAAAACACAAACCTTATAACATTTCATACACTTTATAAAGTGTTTGTTAATGATGACCAAATGATTTATAAACCTTTAAGAGATGGTTTATAAAACATCTATAAACATTACAGAGATACATGGACCAGATATTTGTTCATGGTTTGTAAATATTTTATAAAGCGTCTATTAACATTATTTGGATGGTTATTATAAAGTTGGAACTGAAGATTATAATCCCTTATTAATACTTTGTAAAGCATCTATAAATATGTTTTAGATAGATAATTAATATTTTATCAATGATTAATAATTGGTTTGTTTAGCATCTAAAAGCATTATCCACGCCATGTTTGTGCGTCCCATTAAATGTTTCATAGATGACCTATAGAAGATAATTTTTTTGCACACCAATAACAGTATTGAAAACACTATATTTTACAAACCTTTAAGTTAATGTTGACTAGAAGGAGACCATCAGAAGACTCGGGGGGGAATCGCACCAAGGACCTGCTAAGAGATCACCTGACTGTGATAAAGTGGAATGAATGGCTGGGTAAAAAACAATATAATATTTCTTTTGGATGCCTGCTTGATGATATTGCTAAATGTAGCCTAGGTTTAACTATGACACATTCCTCTATTTTAAAAACACTCCTCTATTTTAAAAACAACATATATGTAGTGGAGGTGTAACTCAAGTTATTGAAAGATAGTTAGAACTCATTTTATGCCTAAAGAAGATGATTGAAACATAACAAATACAATCATATCTAGTTGTCTCATCAAGTCACTACTAAGGGTTAACTTTCTGTTGTTGTCTTTGAGTGATTTGGGTTAGGGTGAGTTTCATGAGTTTGTAAGTGAGCCACTCGGTGAACTCTATTAGTCCGTGGGCCGGCCAATCCAAGTACCAACGCCTTATTTGCTGCATATTTTCCTACAAAAATGAAATCATAGGATGGGTTTAATATGTAGCCAAAAGCCTCTTGTATTCATATGTCATGTGTCATACTACCTCACTGAAATCACAGGGTGCTTCCATGACTATGTACAGAGCGTACTGTAAGACAGAAGTAGTGAAGTTCATGATAGATAAAACATACAGTATATCTCTTAAGATACTTTTCAGAATATAGAAGACCACCAGTCACCACGGCTCAAAACATCAGAATATAGCTCTTTATAGATTCTTCAACTGATTTATATATTTTCATATGCAACTCATGCATGTCTCAGTATTTTGCTGTCTCTATTTTTTTGATTGTATTTTGTCGTAGCTGTCCTGACCTTGTCTGTTTGTTTTCTTGTCATGTATTTGTCCCCAGTTTGTCACGCTATTGCATCTAATAATAAAAAATAAAAAAATACTTACCTGTGCTTCTGAGTGACTCCCAGTGTTTGCCTAGTGGCTCCTTGTTTCCCTTTTCGGATTTTGAACGTTTTTTTGTCTTTTTGTTTAATTCAATATTTTACTTCCATATCTGCAATTGGGTCCAGTTCCTTGTTTTCCACTTCATGACAGTTTCTTTCCCATGTGTGCAAGGCTTAGTCCTGCCTTGTTGCTGTTCTGCCTTCATGGGCAAACTTTTAAGATGTGCAAGGACCTTTTTATTCCATTTGAACTTCTGTAGCTTTTTCTTTTTGAAAATTCAGCATATGTCCACAAAACACAGGACCCTGCTTAAGATGGAAATGTTTCCCCGTAGTGAGTTAATATTGTGACACTGTCATAGACATGCAATGGACTTTTTTTTTAAATTTCAGAATGATGGTTGTTGTCTTACATTATGACTTGTGACATTTTGATGTATCAAATGATGTACTTTTTTTGTCACACTATTTTGACTTTGGCCTTTTCTCATTTGGCCAACATGACTTTTTATCTCGTAATTTGAACTTGCTTTAGGCCGACCATGTTTTGTTTTCCCATTGTCTATTTCCTATTGTGTCCTAGTTTCAATCTACTGCTTACATGCACTTTCCTAACATCATGTTCCAAACATTAAGCTGGATCCTCTCCTTAAACCACATTGACACATGTATCCTTTATTTGCCATGTAAACATGTCATTGATCATTTTCTCCATTATTTTGCACATTTTAATGCAATTGGTCTGTAATGTCCTGGACTTGTACAATCTTTTTCTTGTAAATTAGAGCTATGCCAGGGGATATTTGTTACAGAAGTTTATTTGTTTTAAATACAAAGAACATCTTTGTGTGTGTTGGAAGGAAACCAGGATTAATACACGAGTAATCATTTCTTTGACTTTGTTGTTAAAAAGAGTTCCTGAAGATTGAATAGACCTTTTTTTGTGTGTTATATGCTATATGAAAAGTTTTCAGGTCTCAGTTTGATTTGAAATGGTTTGTGAAACATTGTCCTGGAGAAATGTCAACTTTCATCAAGTCAAAGATCATTTAAATAACACCCTGTAATTAAAGTGCAGGGATTTCTCATTACATGGAGAACATTTTTACCATAGCTCAAATGAATTGTCATTATTCAAAATGTTGTATTGAAGGAGCAGTGCTGAAAGACAAAATAAATGTGTGACTCTGGTGTGACGAGCCCTCCACACCGTGCTGCTTGTTTATTCTCTGTTACAGGTTCAGGTCAAGGCAGGGTCGTAATCAGGGGATGACCTTGGTCCTCATCCATACAATCCTCTTCTCAGGACAGACCCTCTCTCTCTCACCTTGTTCTCACATTTGATCATTGTAAATAAATGTGGTGTTATTTTGGTAGACCTCGTCTTCGACTCCTGTTTTTGTTGCAGCCTCAGAGCCGGGTTGTAACACTGGAAAGAGTTTCTTCTTTCTTCCATGTTTTGATATCGTTTGACACAATACAGACACAATTACTCTCCACTGTGGATCTTTCTCCAAAAGAAAATCTAAATGTCTTTAAACAGACATTTTGTCAAATATGTACTTGAAATTGGAAATTTGATCAACTCCTCTGTTGGATTTCAGTATTGCATCATATTGGGTATGATAACAGCAGCAAAACATAAACTTCAAATTAAATAATTCAGAGTCAGGATATTAAACATTTTTGAGAAAACCTGTTTTTTCCTTAATAAGTGATATTATTAAGGATATATAAATGACCCCTACATCAAAATAAAGAGAAAATACCAACAGTTGACAGAAGAGATTATTCATGGCTCTATATTTATTCAGATTTGATTTGCAAACTCTGTTTTTGCAGCTGATTCTAGATGTTGTGCCGACCTCTTGTTGTCTCCAAACTCGTCCGTCTCTTCTTTAAATGGAGTCCTCTGTTTGCTTTGAGGTCTCAGCTGAAACAAACAAACAATACAATGGTTTAGTGGACATACATCACAAATCAAATGAAGTTCATCTAATGTCAGAGAAATGTTCCTCAAAGTGAGCCATGTTTTCTTAAGAATATATTCAGAGCTGTTTTCATGAAGTTACCATTGACACTTGTCTCTCGTCTTTTCTTCTTCTCTCTCGTTGTCGGTCTGTTCATTCAGCCTCATCCTGTCTGTGTCCTCTGTGCTGCTTCCTGTCTCCTCTGTTCTGTTGTTCACGGCTCTTCTTTAGATTTCACCTCCTGTTCCTGAAGAAAAAAAACAAAAAAAAGAATCAAAAAGGATTCCATGCTGAAAACAAAAATTGTGTAGGAATCAAACTCACCTTTTTTAGATCCCACCTGCCCGCTGAGGGAATGAATCAAAGAGACGCTGGGACATTCAATGAACCAAAAAGTTCATTTTGATGAAACAAAATGTAGCTCACATCACATGACCTGATATTATGTGACATCATTAATCATCACATCAGATCACATCACATGACAAGACAACACATCACAACACAACGTAACACACAAAGACACAACAAGACACAACAAAACACAACAAAACAAGACAACACATGACATGAATAACACCACATAACACATAAACACAATATAATATAGAAACATATTATCTGAAAAAAATCAAATAACAACAAAATAGAAGCCAACACATGACGTAATATAACACAACATTACATATTTACACAATAACACAACATCATGTGAAAAAACATAAAATCTGAAAAAATCACATTAATATCCCCTGACTATGTTTTCAAGTTTCCAGTTTTTTATTGTTAAGGCCTTAAGATCCAGAGTTTACCGTATTTGGATGAGAGGAGGAGTCGAAGCGGAGCAGAGGTTACCAACAGAAACGTATCAAAAAGTTATCAGACAGTCTGAGCCCGTTGTTAGTTGATGAGCTGGTGAGGGAGCCTGAACCTGAATCTCAAACAAGAGCTGCGACAATAAATGACAAACACTAAACAAGATTCATGTTCAGTGAGTAAACACACTGCTATGTGCCTACAGCGAGAGCAACCAGAAGTTCATAATAACATGAATAGATGCTGTCACTGTGATATAACTCATTGGTTTGTTGCCTTTTTAAAGCCCGTTGTTACCTGGAGACACAGGTGCATTAGAACCAAATGCCAATACAAGAAGAGGCCAGATAACCAAATAGCCTGGATAAATAGCTAGTAAGCACAATGTTCATGACATTAATGTGGTATGAGACTGAAGTTATCTAAGATGCAAGAGTTCATAAAACAGCTGACTTGCCCCTTACCTACATTCATTTCAAAGGTTAGAGCAGCAGGAGAATGGCAGGTACCAGGAACTAAAAGTAACAGGTTTCTCATCACACAATCCTGATAACCATGCAAGAGTGATTCAAACAATGTAACAAGCCAGGTACATTTAGATTATGTTTCTATCATACTTCATATTCAGGTTTTTTTTCTGATGTGACCATATTTGGACATGAGGAGGAGGAGCTGGAGAGGAGCAGGAAGTTAGCAAATGTCAAGTTATCAGACCAAAAGTCCTTACTTCTTATCAGTTCAGTCACTGCTCAAACAGCTAGTTTCCAGAATGAGTTTCTGCATTAAGTGATAGAAGGTGATAACATCACAAACACATCACAACCATAGACTGTAACATTGACGTAAACACTGTGATATAACCCTCGCTTTTGTTGCCTTTTGGAAGCGTTTGTTACCTGGAGCCACAGGTGACTTGAGGAGAGGGTGGAGCTGAGGAGGAGCGCTACATGAGAACAACTTTGTGCAGGAGATGTTCAGTATAATGCTGGAGGAGGAGCTGGAGAGGAGCAGAGGTTAGCAAATGCTTCTTTAGCATGTGGCTAATTCATTAGCTGCCTAAAGAAAGTGATAACAGAACATTACATCACAACCATAGATTTGTTAAATGAATAGATGACCCCACTGTAATAGAACTCATTATTTTGTTGCCATGTCAAAGCCTTTTGTTACCTGGAGACGGAGGTGACCATGTTTGAATACAACGGTGGAGCTGAAGAGGAGTGAAGCGCTGGCAAAAGCCAAGTTGTACGACCAAACAATGTAACAGTGTTAAAACACAGAACAACACAATATACCAGGTACAGTGAGCAAAGACACTGATACCATGAGCACAGTGTTTAAATTATTCAATGAAATCCTGGGTCTTTCATTTTCACATTTCTGTGATTTTTGGAGGAGAGGAGGAGCTGGTGAGGAGCAAGAAGTTAGACCAAAAGTCAGGACCTCTTATTAATTCATTAGCTGCTAAAACAGCTAGTTTTCTTCACATTATAGAAGAGTTATAACATCACAGCACATCACAACCATAGACCGTTAAAATGGATGTAGCCACTGTGATGTAAACTTTGGTTTGTTGTCTTTTTAAGCCTTTTGTTACCTGGAGCCACAGGTGAACATGTTTTGAGGAGCTGAGGAGCTGAGGAGGAGCGCTATATGTGAACCACGACGTATGCTGGAGATGAATATTATAATGCTGAAATGCATTTTTGAAATTCAACTTTTTCTTCTGTGACCATATTTGGAGGAGAGGGTGGAGCTAAAGAGGAGCGAGATGTTATCAAGTGCCAAGTCATCAGACCATACAGGAAGTGCCCAAAGAGTTAAAGAGAGAAAACTACATCACACATCACAACCTTAGTCTGCAAGAATATCTTATCTAAACTTAACTTAACTTATCTAAACTTATCAAAACTTATCTAAACTTAACTTATCTAAACGTATCTAAGCTTAACTTATCTAAACTTATCTAAACTTAACTTATCTAAACTTAACTTAACTTATCTAAACTTATCTAAACTTAACTTATCGAAACTTATCGAAACTTAACTTATCTTGTTCTATCTTATCATATTCTACCCAACATGGGAGCTTATCTCTAGTGAGGACGCTTCCGTGGAGGCTCTCCTTCCACCCATGCAGCCGGTCTCTTCTGATGATGCCGAACAGAGGAGGAAGAGACGGAGGGAGAGAAGGAGGGGGGTGGAGGGGAGGGAGGGGAGGAGGGGGTGGAGGGGAGGGAGGGGAGGAGGGAGAGAAGGAGGACGAGAAGGAAGGAGAGGAGGAGGGAGAGAAGGAGGGAGAGAAGGAGGGGGGTGGAGGGGAGGGGAGGAGGGAGAAAAGGAGGGAGAGGAAGAAGGAGGAGGAAGAGGAGGGAGAGGAGGAGAAAGAGGAGGCAGGGGAGGAGGGGGGAAGGAAGAGGAGGAAGATGAGGAAGAAGAAGAGGAGCTCACTTGAAGGTCAAGGATCAAGCAGTTCGAGGGACAGGCAGGAGGAGAAACAGAAGGGGACCTGGGTGGAGACGGTTCTGGAGAGCTGGCTGCTGCAGGGACCCTCCGCAGGATGAGCCTCAGACTGGTCTGATCCGGGTCGTGGACTGTCCAGTGGGAGCACTAAAGACAGAAACAAACCAACATTTCAACATTCAAAGTCTGAAGTTATTAAGAACATTCAATAAGTGTTCCTTTAAGTCATTCAAACAAACACATTTCTACAAGTATTTGCTGTAATACATATCTGTCAGCCTATATGTTTGTTGTTGGTGTGCTTCACCTATCAAAGATTGATTTTGGATAAAAAATGAATTATCTGAACCAAACTTCTTTCACAGTTTCTTCCACAACACAATATTAATACAAAAAATTGAGGTTTTTAACCAGTAAAAAGATAAGTCAACATAAATATTTAGTTTGTAAAAAGATCATGACAGAAACAGCTGTTAAAATGATCAAGGGTTTAAAGAAAGTTCATATGTAACTTTTGAATATGTTTCATATTTGAGTTTCTATATAGAACTTTAAATAGCCTCTAAATAATAATGTATTTAATAAAACAAGAATTTTACTGAAACTTCAAGTTGTTAAGGATCAGTGATTTACTTTAAGGTTTAAAAAAAGATTTCAATCATTCTTGAGATGAAATACAAACCAACTGATGAGTTCAAAGGAAATAAGTGAATAATTACCTCTGCAGGAGAGGAAGGAGAGCGAGGAGGAGTTACAGGCGGGGACCTCGGTAATGAACCTCCTGAAGAGCCGGCTGAAGACGGGATCCTCCTCAGGATCACCCTCGGGCTGGACCAGTCCGGGTCCTGGACGAGGGTGTAGGCCATCCTGAATCGCTGGTTCGTCTAAAAGACAGAAACAATCCCAAAATGTAAACCTCTGATAAACTGAAGAATATGTTTTCTAAAAAATAAAGTCCTCACATCCTCACACTATAAAGTTATGAACAACAATCAATAATTATTCATTAAATGATTAAAAGTCACATTTCTGTGAGTATTTACAGTAGAAAGTATTTTTTTAATATCTATATATTGTTGGTTTAATGTGTTATTAACGTTTACACTCACATAGATTCATTCAGGATCAAACTTAAAGATCCTGAACCAAACTACTTTCACTGTTTCTTTCTCAACACAACATAAATGAAATCGACTATTTGCGTTTTAAAACAGTTAAAGGTCTGACAGAAAATCATTTAGTTTTTATAAAGATCACGACAGAAGCAGCTGCTAACATGATTATGTTTTAATATTTAATTTATTACATGTTTTCATATCTGTTTGTGATAAAAAGTGAATAGTCTTAAAAACCTCTAAGTCCATGTTATCTTATTGAACTTTAAATAGAAACGATCTAGTTTTATTCAAATCATCAATCTGAGATGATGAATTCAGGAGAAACATTTTCGATGAAGATCTTTAGTGAAGAAATCCTCGAAAATATGAAACTTTTAAACCACTTTGGATATTTTCTGCTGTCTCTGAGTTTGTTTTTGTTCGAATCTATTCATTTTCGTATCTGGTCTATCACCATGGCAACCTGCAGCAGGTTACTATGGAGATTTAAAATGCTGTTTACTTTTTAAATATAGCTAACTTTATTTAAAAGTGTATTTAAGCTACAACATGTACATTAGAAATGAGCTAGGCCTCTCCTAGACCAAAATAACAGAAATAAAGTTCATGAATTAAGACCCTAACGATGAGAAAATAATAAAGGATGTCAATAAACATCTGGGGCAAAGTTAGCCTTCTTTCATTAGTTATTTTTTTGTTGTCTATTTGAACTCGACCTGGTCTGAAGCCTTAAATTAAACTGTGTTACTATTTTCAGTTTGTGTCAAAGGTCTGTCATGTGCTAATGTGAGTTTTAAATGTCATTTAATAAACTTTAATCAATCATCATTTAATCTCAAAGTTACGATCGTGTCGACAGTAAAACAGTTTTATTCAAAGAATCAATCTTACGTCATCCATGTTGACACTCTTGAGCTTCGTGATGATGTTCAGTCGATGTTTGGAGAACAAAAAGTCCTTGATGAAGATCTTTGTTGAAGAAATCCTCCAAAATATCAAACTTTGAAAGCACTGTGAATATTTGCTGCTGTCTCTCACTGAGATTTGTTTCAAAATACTTAATTACTTAATTTTCGAATCGTCTCTTGGCAACCTGGGTTACTATGGAGATTTGAAGTAGCCTACACATTATTCATTTGAATGTAGGCTATTTAAATCTACAATCTACATTTTTTTTAAATATATAAAACTGGAATTTATTTTAAGCCAATTGTTTTTTTTGTCAAATAACTTCCCCCCAAATCTTTTAGTCTTTAAATTGATCTAAAGCCTCACTTAAAGTAAAATGAAAAAGTAACACACCTAAAGTGTTATCTCCTTTACAACAAAAACATACCAAAGTGTTTTTAAAGAGCAAGCACTTAATAGTCTTTGGTTTGTTTAACTACATTATTTAAAAAATGGTAAATGGACTGGACTCACAGCTCTTTTCTAGTCTTCTGACCATGAAAACACTCTGCATGTAGCCTATAACTTTCCCAACAGATTTATTGAGATTTTTTTTTTGCCCATATTAACCCTTCCATGGTTCCAGGTAACCAGTTTTTTTAAAAAAAATGCAATTTGCAATTTTAGGACATGCAAGGTGACATTATTTTATTTTAAATTCATAATTCTGAAGAAGTTACAGAAATTTCCACCAGAGTGGACATAATGCAACCCTAAAATGCAAAAAATACTTGTATTTATTTATTTTGGAGTGCATTAACTTTTCATCTCATAATTTTGACTTTTTATCTCATCATTTTGATGTAATATGGGCAATAAAAAATTCTCAACAAAGTTTAAATCTTAATATTTTCAACTGGCGGAAATGGGCTTCCATAGCCTGATTGGATTAAATATTCGATTTCACTATGCACTTTTAATCTAAAAATGCTGAAGCAGAGTTACCCTAGAGCAAATCTAACAGGGGGAATCAGATAAAAAGTAATTAACAAAACTCCCAGCGATAACCTCCTTCATAAGTTGGGCAGTATGCTCAGGTCTCAAAATGTATGTAGTCTATCGTGCCGGTTCAAGAACCCCTCACTGCAAACGTAGTAGTCATTCACATTTTGTTTATGAATGGCTTATAAACCATGTATAAAGCAATTGTTAGTTTTATAAACATCAGTTCCAACTTTATAATAACCATCCAAATAATGTTAATAGACACTTTAGAAAATATTTACAAACCATGAACAAATATCTGGTCCATGTATCTCTGTAATGTTTATAGATGTTTTATAAACCATCTCTTAAAGGTTTATAAATCATTTGGTCATCATTAACACTTTATAAAGTGTATGAAATGTTATAATGTGTGCATCAATAAACTGTTAACATAACATAAATTATAGCATTACAAATCATTATCAAACATTATTAACTATAATTTTATTGTTTGTTAACAGTAAATAACTATTAACTAATGGTTAATTAACTATCTATTTACCCTTATTTACCCTTTATAGATGATGGTTATTATATCGTGTTACCTACTAAATTAACAATTATTCTCGTAATGTAACAACTTTAAAGGCTTTCTATGTGATTTTTCACTCTTAAATATAATAGAAATCAAGTATATCCTCTGAAAATAACTCTGTGAGTCATGACTGTCTACAATGGGTGTAACACCCGAGTCCCACTGTCTGTGATGTTTTCAGAGTTTTCAGAGTCCTATCTTCACTTTGTTTACATCGCCCGGACGGCCGGCCGACTCCTCCCCTCGTGTATAAAAGTTGTTTAATTGAGGGACTAGAGAAAAGAAGAATAACATACTGTACTCACTGCTTAA